TCAACGCAGTTCTTTATCAGTGTTTCCTCCAACCCAGTATGTACCAAGGCAGAGCGTGCTTCTATAGAGCAGTCTTCACTTTGATGACACCCCCATGAGGATTTGCTGCTCAGCTGATGATCTTACTGAAGTTTTTCCTAACACTATTACAGTGATTTTCTCTGTTTTGGGACATGCCCGCATTGGATCTGACATAGGCAGTTTACCTGTATCAGCTGTGAATCCTCACTAGGAGACAAGAATATGGCAGTCCTGCCATCAAAGAGAAGCTGCTCAACTAAAGCACTTCAATATATAACAATTAAAGAAAGATTTACAGCTTGTTTAATAATCGAACAGTCAGGACAACCTGCCTGGTTTCTCACATGCCTTCAGTTACAACTCCAGGGAACTGCCACAGAACCTGAGGTCAGTTTGATCTAACAGATGAATGCATGAACTCTACAAAATCTGAGTGCCCATGCAGCACCAGCTAAGCGAGAAGACTTCACAGAAGTTACAGGAATTTCAGTCTCATTCCAGTCTAATTATTTACATGTGCATGGCTTGCAGACACCAGAAGAAAAGAATTCTAGAAATTTGATCTGGAAGACAAGACAAGCCTTGCCCCTGAACAAATTTCTCTCAGTGGCAGTCTTCCATTTGACTAGATTTCCTGCTCCCCTCCCCCTCCAAGGGTAAACAATGTTAGGTACAGAACAAAAACCGTACCAAGAGAAATTATTCATTTACTAGAATTCTTTTGTGCAGGTATTCTGTACAAGTCTTTTACTATGCAGCGAAGATGTCAACAAGATGATTTAAGGAAGCATCATGAACACTCTTCACAGCATTCTCTGTAGACTACTCTCTTCCAGTCACATCACCAGACAGTTTAGACTTGTTCACAAAAGCATCTTTGCAACAGCTAAGAGACACACGCCTCTCCGTCCCATAAAGGCAACATTTACTGCTTCATGTGCCCTACACTGTTAGCTACACAGGACCAGTTTTATGCTCCCACATACAGAGACTTCTTAACAGGATATAGTCTCTAGCAAACAGCAGATGTGGCTCCTGATGCTGCAAGCTGCAACTGAGCTGAGAAAACTCTTGCCTAAGAGCTTGGCAGGAAAAACAGAGCAGAGACTTCTGACAAACTAAACATTTGCATTCTGAAAGGCTGTAACTGACAAAGGATTAGTTTGCTATGTGTTTGGTGAGAGCAGCAAACTATGAAATGTTTTGAGAACTAGTGAACTAAAATTCACAACATCAGATTTCTTTACTCCAAGCCTCTTTCCAGTATGTCAAATCACTGACAGTTCAAATTCAATCCTTTTCACAGAATGGCAGTAGGGTGGCATGAGGAGAGAGGCAATAAAGAAACAGAGGTCAGAAGTTCCTATGAAGTGTTCTTCCTTTTTTAGAGAGGAAGTCTGGGATGTCCAGAGCTAGTTGTTCAATTATATTGGATTCTTTTTTGTTTTTCCAGAGCAAGTGAACCAAAAGATAATGCTTTTACTTGGTGCTCCTGTAACCCAGTTTTACATATGACAGCGACAGACTAAGCTGCACCTACACAGATTCATATTACCAGATATATTGTATGAATTTTGGGGCCAAACTAACCTACGACTTCAACCAAAAGATGAAACAGAAATAGGCTTAAGTTCAAATTTGGTTCAGGCATGTAACCTCTAATTCCACTACTGAAACCTCCTCTCCTTATGTTCAAATGAAACTTCAGATACATACTTGCAAGTAGGGGAAAGTACCCATCAGTTCTATAATTAGTCTCAGCTCATGTTGAACACTTACAGATTTCTAAGTCTAAAAAAATCCAGAAGTTTCAGTTTTTACCCTTTCCAAGGAACATACCTGTTATCTGGTCTCTGCGCTGAAGTCTGAACGTCTCTTTTCCAACACAGAGTTGGTAGATGAAGATACCCAAATCAGACACATTATCTATCTCCTCTGTAACCACCATTTCTTCACGGACTAGGTAGGTCTGAGGCAAATAAGAGCCAGTCTAAAAGAGAAAACACTTTGAGAAAGAGCATTCTGCTTACAATGGCCAAACACATTTTACTCTTTGCTTTGGGAGGGCTTCAAACACTAGATTCCAGCTTTCCTCCTTTTTAATGCTAAGATATGCCAGTCTTGAACAGCTGCATACCAGAGAAGTTAAAAACTGACAAAGGCTATTTCAAACAGCTGCACTTACATCCAAACAAAGCACAGTTAACCTTAACAGGGCTTGCCTCACATGAAGCAAACATAGATAGAACCTGTTCAAGTTTATTTGTTCAGAACAGAAAGTTTGCAGTTTAAAGAGGAGAAAAAGTATTACCAAAGTTTCCATGTTTGAGGCAATATATTTCTAATACCAAAAAAATGTAGTGTGACCTACAAAAGTTGTCTTCACCACAAAAATCACAGCACTACCAAAACAACTTCCCACCCATCATGACCAACTCCTAAAAATGGGGCCAGGGAGACACACTTAAAGCTTGTCTTCACGAAACTAAATAAAATGAAACAAGCTAAGACAGACCAAGTGGCCTCTAGCACTAGGTGTAGAGGAGTCAGTAACGTTTTTGAAAAGTACATTTGACACATGATGGCTCAGTATTGCATTTAATTTGAAAGTAGCAGCAAGCTCTATGAACTTGACCCATAAGATAAGTCGTCTTGGAAAAATAAGTTTTAGTCACTGAAGAGTCAAAGTGCTGCTGGTGAGCTCATAGTGAGAGTGCCAATACACCAGAACAACAAGTTAGCATTGTTCTTTCCATTAAAACTCTCATGGGGCAAGTGAGCTTTCCGGTAGTAACTTTCAGGTTTAGGCTTTCAATGATATTTGGAGCTTTATCAAATTCCTTTATAATAGCTAAATTTAACCTCATTTGCTAGTTGCTTTCAGCTTTCATAAAGCTAGGTATTAATAAGAGCATTAAGCATGAATCTACTCAACATAATATACACTGACAGCTGGCCTTAACTTCAGTACAGTGACTGAGCCAGGGGGATTATGTACTTTGATGGGAAGAGGACTATTCTAGCAAGAAACTGTAGTACCGGAGTAACACCCAGCATTCTTACCAAAAGGGATCTTGTCAGCATAACTAAACAGTGAAGTTTCCACATACCGCCAGTTTTGCGAAGAGATCCATCAAATTTCTTGGTGGCATAACTATGGATGTGTTCAGTGGAATCACATAGCAGTTACCCAGTTGCAAGTCAAGATACGCAGTCAAAAGCTATTTCAAAAAGAAGTTTGCAATGAATTCAGCACAGCCTTTGACTATGAGAACACAGTTCTAGAAGGGCTAAGAAGGAAGCTCAAAAAGCTGGAGATCATGCACAGCTAGTATCAACGTGATGCATTCAGGAACTGTCTAGTCTAAGAATTTAACTATTACCACTTTTGCAAACAAAGTGATTATAGCTATGGTTTACAACAGGACTTTCGTACATAAGGGAGAGCTGACAATAAAAGCAGTTTCTATCATAATTCTAAGTGACTACAGTTTGTATTAATACAGAGAAAGTATTTGAGAGTATGCTCTCATAAGAGGTCCAATTAAGCACAGTGCAGACAAAAGGTATCCGACTGCTCATAAGTAATCAGTCCCTGTAAACAGTTCTTCAGAAAAAGTATTCATCTCTAGAAAGCCACATCAGCATTACCACCAAGTGCAAGAACTGCAGGGACTAAAGTCATCCACATATCTACTTGTTTTATTATGATGACTTTGCATAGCACTTAGCCCGAATCAACTGAAGAACTTCAGTTTCCCTAATCCTTTAAGTTATAGCCAAGATTCTGTCAAGACAACACAGATAAAAGCTGCAAATACTGCAAACACAGGCCGCACAACTTGGCTGCATAGCATTCAATGCTACTGTTAAAAGGCAGCATGTACAGAGGTCAGTTCTAGTGTCTTTACTGTGATTATATCTGTATTGCCAAGGTCTGATTTACAAACAACCTACGAGAGCCTTTACGGCTGACTAAGGATAACTGTCAATACTATTAATAAAAAAGTCAAATTAAAACCATCCTCTCATCTTTACTTTAGAGATACTACATATAACTAACACAGCATTTTCAATATCTAGGTTTCAGCCACTTGAAGTGATTCTTCAGTTCACTCATCTAAGGAGAAGGAGCCCACATTTGTTTGGAATTCTACATTTTGCTGTAACACAATCTGGCAGAATCTTACACCAAATCCTCAGTTTCCTTATGAATTAACTCACCTTTACAGATGTTCTCCTACCCTCATTTTCATCTACACAGGATTCTTGATCAAATAACAAGTGTTACTTCTAGACATCCTCCGGACAACAATATTTAAAGTTGCGTAGCACTGAGATGCAGTGTTCTGAGAAACGATCCAGTTAAGAGTCACTGTGCGCTTGAACTCCTCTAACATTCTTGTAACACTCCTCCCCCCTTGCAGAAGTTTAAGTCTACTATTATAGAGTTAAAAGGGTCAGATTTCCCACACTTAAACCCTTACTGCATTGACATTAAGCTTTAAAGGTCTCAAGAATGAAAACCCTGGAGCTGTGATGATTACCATGTACTTCACAGTTTCCCAGTGAGCAACAAGACTGGTTATTTCTTATTGCTTCACATATACTCACCCTATCAAAGTCATGAACGATCGCTGCCGGATCACTGTCCGAGAACTTTGGAACAGGCACATCAATGATGGCTATATTATCATCCTCTCGAATATCAGCTTCTTCAGCAATAGGGAGGAAATAAGGTTCGACGGCACGATCACGATTTTCATTTTCAAAGTAACACATTTCACCACGGTACACCTTATGCTGAAAGTAAGGGCAAGGCCAGTTATTTTTACAGTGAATGTTGCTTTAAAAGTGTATTTCTAGCACTTAAGCCATGACAAAGCACAGGTGTGTCACACCTGGAGCTTTTATAAAGGACATAGCAGTCGCCATGTCCCAGTCATTGAGAGTTTTCTATTACAGTGGTAATCCATTTCTAATGACACTTTTACTATTCAGTGATACTTAAAGAAAGAAGAACTTCCACATTACCTTAGGCATGAAGTACTTGTAGATGCAGGCTCCACCAACAACAACTCCTGCCAAGATGAACGCTAGACCCAGCAGAGTCAACAGACATCTTCCAGATGAGTTTTCACCTCCGTGTGTGGCAACTTCTGGATCCTTTAAATAAAGAGGGATGAGAACTTAGAAAATGTAGCTGCTCTGAACTGAAAGTAAGCGCTTATCTACTGCTTCACTTTGACCTATCATCTTCTATTTTTTCTAGATGCGCAGTGAGAATTCTACATCAAGCTTCATATAATAAGAAAACACATACATGAAACACTGCATCATATTAAGATCAGTTTTCAAACAGCACTGAAAGAGGACATTTTCCTAGAGGATGCTTTCTAGACAAACCCTTATTGAGAAACTATTTGCAGTGTGAGAAATTTAAAAAACTGTAACAAAAGATACAGTGCTGCAGCAAAAATATAGTACAAGGAAAGCAAGATTTATAGAGCAAGGTCATTTTAAGATACAGTGTTTTTAGGCCTCTTTCCAAAAGCCTATTTCCTATCCTCCTCTCGCTATCAGATGGAATAAGCTAACATTACTTTTCCCTCACAAAGCTGGACTAACAGAAAAAGCAAAGATGCAACTTTGTCTGTTAGCTGGGGAACATCTGACAAAAGTCAAACATTCAGGTTTTAGAACTTGTAATATGCACAACTGAAGCCCACTACGAAAGAGAACCATTCATCAGCTTAAATGCAGCTTCAAATTATGCCAAATAAAAGTAAGTCCCTATGGCACATCCTAACTTGCAGTTTCAAAATACTCTTTCTTCCACCCAAGTCCCAAGAAGTTTTGTTTCTAGCAGCCTGAAACTTCTCTCTTTAGTTTGGTGACTTATTTTTTTTCCCCCTGCAGTGTTCTCTCAAACAGAAGATGATTGCATTCAGAGGAAAATACTATCACCATCACGTAACATGCTGATAAGTTGTGTAATAACGATTGCAGAGTTTGTGGTGGTGCCCGAATGGCAATTACAACGGTTCTTTCAGCTCCTTTCTAGACTTCCAGGTGAAAGGCTCACACAAGCCAAGTTGAGAGGAGAACTGCAAAAGTATTGTCAAACACTAAACATTCAGAAATGACATTCCCTTTGGGCAAACAGGCACTGGTTTGGGGTCTGTAAGAAAACAAACAAAAACAAACCTCAAGTGTTTAGATAATCGATATGTATGTCCCTTCAGTAAGTCATGACTCCGGTATTTAGCAGCTCACTTTCAGACCTATTCTTTTTACTGGTCAGGAAGAAAAATTGGATTTCAGAGCAAAAGATCTTTTCCTTTGTGTTGTTCCTAGAGTCAATAGCTAGATTTAGCAAAGCAGTTTCCATGTCCTTTCTTTATTTGGGTCCCACTATTTGCTCTCCCATAGAACACAATATATTTAAGCAACCTGTGATCATGACAAACCACAATCTTATTACAAAGGCTGCACATATTTCCATACTCAGGAGGATATTGCAGTGGAAAAGTCAAATGCATCAGCTATGCTATTACTGAAACAAAAACGAAGCTGTTTTGCGAAAGTCAGTACTCCTACATTCCACTCTCGCATCCTCCAAACAGAAAAATGTTGGTTCAGCGAGACATAAGCTGCTACAATTGACTAGTTAAGCATTTGCAAAAAAAACAACCCACCAACAACCAAACGAGTTTTAAGTCAGAATTATGCCATGTTGATATGCCATTATGTGAAAACCATCTTGCAGAGTTAACTGGCTTTTAAGATCAAGACTAATTCGCTTCTCTTCATATTCTGCCACCTTCATCTACACCTTTCAGTAACTTACTCATTTTGCCTATCATTACTTGAACACAACAGTCTGCAGTAGGTTTTGGCAATACAGACGCCCTAGTGCTTGGATGATGTCGACATGTGATTAGCCACACTTGCACTACACCTATTTCAAACAAAGTAAAGGCATTTATCATATTAAGAAGCAATGTAGGCAGCCTGAATCTGAGAAGAGAGTTGACAGCTGATAAGAGAATACAACATCAAGACTCTGCTCCAGTAGGTTACAAAGCCTCCGCTCAGAAATAATAAAAGTCATAAAAACCTGCAAAGAAAATGCAGTTCTAAATGGCACAGTAACAAGCAAAGCAAACTAGGACTAAGATAGAAGAAAAATCACTTGTGTTAACATCTGCAGCTAGCTCAAGAGACACTGTTGACACAGTCAGCTTTAAAGAATCCGCAGGGACAGGATTCTGCAAGCTCAAGTGTTTTGTGCAGATATTCTAGGGGACTTTTACTGTGCTGTTTCAGCCAACATTAGCCATTAAGCCTGTTTGCTCTGCACAAATATTCCAGCAAAGGAGACATTAACAAGCACTAGAACAAGTTTGTCTTGGAGTAAAATTGTGAACTTGATGTTTACAGGCAACTCTAAGCTCTGAAGTCAAAGTGAAGAGTTGTTAAAAAACCCTATATACACATGCAAACACAGAGAATGCTGTGACAGATAAAACAGCATGAGTGGCTTCTAAATTGAGAAGAGCAGCTATCATGAGAGGAGAAAAAAGGGTGTAAGTGTATATTAGAACCAATAAGGTAACTAATAAGGTTAAGGACCTGGTGGAGCAAGTCCAGGAGGGCCACAAAGATTATCAGAGGGCTGGAGCACCTCTCCTGTGAAGACAGGCTGAGAGAGGTGGGGTTGTTCAGCCTGGAGAAGAGAAGACTCCGGGGAGACCTTATAGCCCCTTCCAGTACCCGAAAGGGGCCTATGGGAAAGATGGGGAAGGACTCCTTATCAGGGAGTTTAGTGAGAGGATGTGGGGTAATGGTTTTAAACTGGAAGAGTGTAGATTTAGATTAGATATTAGGAAGAAATTCTTTACTCTGAGGGTGGTGAGACACTGGAACAGGTTGCCCAGAAGTATTCAAGGACAGGTTGGATGGGCCTTTGAGCAACCTGGTCTGGTGGAAGGTGTCCCTACCCAAGGCAGGGGGGTTGGAACTGGGTGGTCTTTAAGGTCCTTCCCAACCCAAACTATTCTATGAACTATTATGCTCAGAACTTGCATGGTACAGGGCCAGGAAAAATACATCTAGCAAGCTGCCTCAGGAGTAGCTGATGAGCTTGTTTTACATATAACTAGCCAGACTAATGACATTTTAAAAATTTAAATTAATCCTTTATCTACACTGTTTGACTACTTTCTCCCCTTCCTCTTGATCCAGTAATTCAGTACTACTGTATTAACTGTGCACACATACAACTCCTACAGCTCAGCAGAGTCCACTGAGCACTAACAGCACTCTGCACCCTTTCCCCCAGGAAGGCTACTTCAGGAGAAGCAGAAGCTCTGTAAGATGGAAGGCAAGCTGCTTTCCTAAGTACGGCTTAGAAGCAAAAAAAAAAAAAAAAAAAAAGAGAAACAAGAGTCTAAGTCCACAGGTTTCTGTTTGGCTTTTTTTTTTTTAATAGTCCCAGTCTCTGATTACAAATAAACTCGATACAGCCCATATTCCTCCTCCAGAGCTCCTGATTCATCTACCTAGACGCTGATCATCTTAATCTGACTAAAAGTATCAGCAGCTAAGCAAAATATCTTCAAAATAAAGTCTCCCACAGATTTGGAAAGTTCAATTGAAGTCAGCGACACGGCAACTGGTTAGGAAGGAAAAGCCAACCACAGAGTACTTGCCTGGGTTTCTATTTAAAACCCTTTATGGCAGGTTTCTTCATTTAAACTAGAAACCTCAGAAGCCCAGACACCTTACCACAGCGCCGCTCTCCAACTCGCTGCCTAGGAGCAGCGGCAGCGAGCGGGGGCTGAGCCCTAACCCACTTTGTTTGCTCCGAAGACGCAAACCAGCTCTTCCCCGGGGGGGG